ATTGGGTTTTTATATAAAGTCACATCAATGTGATCAAATTGCAGAGACATTGGCGCTCAGTACTGTAGCGGGCAGAGACAATTGCACCAGCGAACCTTTGACGGAGGCTCGTCACATCCAGTCCTCATACCAGTGGATACAGAGCTTATGGCTGAAATGGATGAGATACTGACCATGAACAAAGTACCTCCGCATCTAGAGATTTTAGGAAGAACGTAAGTAAACACCAAAGACGTGTGATTATGAATTTGACAAAACTGTAATATCATGCATGTTGCAAAAACACGACAATGAAATGAGAAACCATAAAGCAAACAATTTGAAGTTTGTAATTTGAATTTGTTTCAGGTATATGTTACGATCAATTACTCTAATTAGCAAAGAAGAACAACATTACGTCTGTATTTTCCGGTACAAAGGCCAGTGGTTATTTTACGATGGCCGCGAAAATGATGGATGGCCAAGGCCTTTAGGAGCCAATACGTCTGTACCTCGACAGACATATATGATATCTCATTTATTATATGAAGGCTCTTAGGATCCAATACGCCTGTACGTTAACAGACATATATAATACCTTGTATTTGGTCCATAATTAATAAAATGTTCTTATATTTGAGTAATAGTAGTGATTTGGATATTAGAAGGCCGAGGTGGTTTACAGGGGAAATGAGGGAGAGAAACATAGGGATTCATAGTTTGCTGCGCTGGTAAAGCTGTCAATCATCAGCCGTGTACAGTTAACGGTTATGCAACTTACAGGAGGAGCCGACGGGGTCTCTGTTCTTCTAAATAACTCTTCTTGTACGAATATTTTCCTGGGAAAGGGATTTTGAGCTACATAGTTGACAATCTCACAAGTAATGCGGCGACCTTCCTGGCAAACGTTTTTAAGGTCAAAAAGGCTAATATAACGTTTTTATGGTCCAAAACGACTTTTTTAGTTAGGAAATTTTTATTTTCGTGGCAAAAATTCTTGGAAATTATTTCTTGCTCTCCGGAGAGTTCTTTTTTCMTTAATTTCTCGCTGGCAATCATTCGTGATTTGAGCTGGCTGGGAGGCATAAGAACAAAAATATTTTTTCCCCAGGAACCCGTCTGCTCCTCCTAAACTTGGAGAAAGTTAAAAATCTAGTAAGGATGTAGATGCAATTTATTTCAAGCCAATTTCAAATACTCAGGTTTTCACTTTTTGCTCTCCAACTGTAGGTATCAATACGCTTAACAACTGCACCTTGTCTAATTTGTGTCAAGAAGCTGGATTGGAACGTAAGAAATCTCATTCTCTAAGTGAGTAAATGACAAGATTTCCTAAAGAAATGATCGTGTTTCGCATAATGTTGCCAACCACTGAATKTTTTCTATTTCAAATGTTTGATATCAGTAAAATTTAAATTTAAATTAAATTTAAATTAAAATTAAATTCAAATTTAAATTTACAAATTGTAAACATAAGGAATTGAGAAAGTTTATTGATTAGACGAAACTAGTTTTCCTTAGAATAAAGTTTCTTGGCGTAACTGTGTGTTGAAGACTTCACATATTGGGTATGCTCCTATCTCACACTATGACGTTTTACACAACTGTTTCTTTAGAAGCACCGACGCAGCTCACACTAGTTTACAGCTAGTTCCCACCATGTTTTCTATAGGTGGGCGTACAATGACGTAGTTGTTTACAACAAGAAAAAGCAATTTTTGAAATCATATATATCAAGATTATATTACTCTCAACAAAACTTGAAAATTTAAGGGCAAACGCCAAGATTTCTGCATTTCAAAACTAAAAAAAYATAGAAAACATTCAGAGGTTGGCAACATTRTGCCCACCACGATCATTTCTTTAGAAAATCTTGCATATTCGGCGCTTGATTAACTCTTAAAATTGCCTTCAAATTTTTAGGAATTGCTAACAAGTATGAGCTCTTTTCATTTATTGGTCTGATTTTCTTATAGCTTGAAATTCGATTTCTGACTTTTATGCAAAACGTAAACACTGGCTAAAATTTTCAGGTTTTGTTTAGAATAATAATAGAATCTTGAATCATATGAGTTCAGATTGCTTATTTTTTGATTCGATGTTTTTGGATGTAAAAGATGACGATGTACGTCATTGTACGCCCACCTTAACCGATCAACAAGTTACATAGATGAGGTGACGGTTTTGGCGGACATCTTGGCTGGTAGGCAAAGTGTCGCAAAATAACAAGGAATGACCGGGAAATCGATGTCAAGTAATTCCCGCTGAATTCAAATTCGGAAAGAGTCATCAATTGCAAACGCTAGACACTGTAAAAAGGGTTCTATTGTCTATTGTCTTCCTAAGAAGCAAAGGAATTTTACAAATATATTTGTGCCATTGCGTCCTTTAAAGTATCCCGAGATCTTCGCAAATTCACCGTGCTATTTTCGGTATTTGTAGAACAGTACGTTATATTGGTACGAATAAAATGAGAAAGAAACCGTTTGCTATTAATTTTAGATATTTMATGTATTCAAGTATACAAAAGAGTCGACTTCGGATGTGGTCAAAGTTTGTTTCATGTAATTATTCAATCCTACTCTAAGAGTTTGAGAATGCAAGTCAGAGAAGAAATTGCTAAAATCAAACTTTGCAATGACATAGAGACAAATCCTTCTACCAAATGTGTCATCAGGCCTAACAAAATTAAGTTACATTCTTGAATATGAAAAAAATGCACAAGCAAACKTTTGTTATTAATTTAAACAATGCACAAGGAAACCCATGCAAGCGCTCACYGAGCGTCTAGTTTATTCAGTTCKTCTCGATTACAATAAAAACCAAACCCGTTAATAAAATTCGATTTTTAAATCTKTTTTACTCGTCCTCTTTAAAATCGTCATTGATTTTCACGTCATCTCTRCCATCATCTGATTTCYCAAGATTGTCTTCARACAAAACGGTGCTCCTTAATTTGTTCTTCTGCTGAGCGGATGGTGAGTTCAGGCTGCTTGTTCTTCTTCTTCTCCAGGCATCACTGAAATCCAACCACAGTTTGTTAAGATCAGTTTATGTTCAAGGATTTGACAAGCCCAGAATTTCAACARGATAATAGATATCCACACAGCACGATCGTGGAAAAAATCGCGCGCTTTAAAGGTTGTAAATTTTATATATGATGTAAGTGTCCAAAATGATGTAAATTTGATGTAAATCATTTCCATCAAATTTCCATCATTTTGGACACTTAAATCATATTTCCATCAAATTTACAACCTTTATGGCGCGCGATTTTTTCCAGTGCGAACGCCAGTTGTTGTAAACAACTTCTTTGATGTACTCACATATTTCCGAAACCTGATATACGAATTACACGAAAAAGATCTGCTGTCACGACTRGTGTGTAGAGTAAGAACGTTTACAGAACGATTTATGCGTGATGACYTACCACTCATGAATGGTCGTGAGTACGATGAGCAATAACAACAAAGACACAAGTTTACGGTTCATTCTTGTTGGCTCTGAAAACAAACCCTGAATATTGAAGTTGAAAAACAATGACCAAAATGCACTCTGTATAGTTCATACATATGGACTGTAGACGCGGTGCATCAGATTAACGTATTCACTTCAAACACAACACGATGGAATTGATGATTTTTTTTACGGATTGACGATAATGATGTCGAGAATGTTGATAAGTCGATAATGTCGGTTTGAACTGAAATAGTACGAACATAAAAACATCTGGTTACTTAATTCTACAATCGTTTACATCACGTAACGCTAAGATACAATACAATTCCTACTTTTTGACTATTACTAATGCRTAAAACATAAAAATAARAATAATGAATAAATTAACTACATGCACAATATGTTATAAATGAATACAAGCATAATCAACTTGAAATAGCTTCAGATTTAAAGGTAACTAAATCATGGGACATAAATTTGCATATGAGCTTCATAAACTACAAATATAGCCCGTATAATAACTATTACAACATAAAGAATATAAAAGGAAAGATTTGACTTACGTTTGCTATACAGATGCACCAGATAGAGATAGATTTCTAAGACGATGAAATGGCTAACTTACAACTGACAAAAGAGGGTTTTGTTACGTTGACGAGCTTGGCACACCTTAATGTAGCGTGATTCGAGTTGATTGTTGACATAATTAAACAGATAAAAAGAACAAAATAGTACTATTTTAGTTAAGGGGATTAACTGGACGTAAATATCGTTGACTTGCACAAAGCCCGTGTTTCAAATCTAACACTCTGTACGCCCCTTTCTTTAACCCCTCCCTGATTCAGTATTACGACTTGTTGAGTCTTGTTTTATCTTAGTCTGTCTTAGATCAAGACMATACCATTCTGTCCTAGCCTGCGTAGCAGCCCCTTGGGATATCTACCCACCTTTGCTTCAAATAACGCCCTCCTCCCCAACCTTTCATCCTCCTAATCTTTTTTCTATGTTTTTTTAGGTGTTCTTTGGCCACACCTTGACTGGACTACTTTAATCTATGATTTTCCTTTTTGCACTCAAATGTATTAGTTATATCGAAATTGTTATTGTTCTATTAAAAGCGGCTGTAGGATTTTCCCAAAGTCATTTAACTCCATGAGAAGCTTGATCTAKTTTTACCAGACCATTTAAATGACATAGTGATCTTGGATAATAAAGGTTGGAGCAGAAAGTTTCTTCTGTAGCATACAATAGAAAGTTGTGAACATAAAAGACATAAAGAGCCATAAAAATCCACACCCCTTTTAGAAAATATCGCCGATGCGTAAGATATTAATAAAGGATGTGTCAATAATCATACCCAGTAAAAGTATTATAAATTTACCTAATACGTTTGTAATATCAAGCTCTGAGACTGTAAGGTAGGTGAAGCTCTGTACCCTTTGGTGAGTAGTTCAATCTGATGATCAAGAGCAGCTGCAGATCTGATTCATCTTCCTATTGTATGTCAGCGGGTTATCAGSGCTGTTGAGTAATGGATGATAACAATTTTGTTGCCGAATACACATTTCAAAGGGCTTTGGACCAGATTCCATATCTGTAAATTTTACATACCAGTTTTGAATACTGATTGTGAATTGACTGACTTGAAATCAAACATATCATACATATTTTTTTAGTATAGTCGGTATCGTTTTTCATCTCAAAAATTAATTAAGTCACTATTTGTTTTAATGAGATACAAAAAAAAAAAACGATTTAGTAACTTGTTTATTGTTGCCGTGGTAACCTTCATTATATTTGCCATGGTAACGTTGAACAAGCCCACGTTGAAATGATTYAAAGTTTTAATCATCTTAATTACGTGGGCTTGGTGTGGAAGACCACGTCTTAAAATTTCAGTGGACTTTTCTCCTTCGTCGTAGTCATGCATGAAAATTGGACTTCAAATTGGTAAGGCCTGAGTTGCAGATGGTCTGCAGTCTCAGTTTCCATGGGGATGTCAAACTAAACCAATCCGCGCTTACTTTCATTTTGTATAAGTTTGTACATGTGTCGGCCSCGTGGCCTGATGGCTATATCTAGCTTCACTTTATAGCTACTGTGACGGTAGACCCACACAAAAACATATTCAGCGTAATATTCGGAACGTGCAAAGACTGTACCGTTTCTATTGTTTATATGACCTTTCAGGTCAAATTWATTAAATCTCACGGAATTTGCAAATTTTGAAYAATCTAGACGCTCTTAGAGCGTAAAGCCGGGCTGATAAAGACAGGATATTTAAAGAAGTTACTTAGAGTTCAGTTAGGTAAAAAAWTATGATGTAGTAAATATTAACTTATATTAACTTAATTCTGTCTTGACTTATTTCAAACAAAGACTGTATCGTGAAAATGAAAAATGGCGGCAGCTGACCCATTGTCGCAGCTACAGGAAGCCCACGTAAGCGATCCACGATCGTCTAGTTTCTATAGCTTATCCGAAAGTGGAATGTTAGATTAAAATAGCCTTGTTATAGTCATCTTGATTTTCTGTAAATTTTGTTTAATAATTATTTTTGAGCCATTATTTTGATGTTACACAGAATATTATACTCGAATAGCCTCGAACTTAGGATCGCGGCCTTTTCTCGAGTCATTTTCTTTCTTTCTTTCTTTCTCTCTTTCTTTCTTTCTTTCTTTTTAACTGAAATGAAGTTGTTATAGTCACGTTGATTTTTTTCTGTAGATATTTGTTTAAAAATTATTTTCGAGCCGTTATTATATCGTACTTGAATAGCCTCGAACTTAGGATCGCAGGATCGATTCTCGACTCGATCGCTTCGAAGCCATTCTTTGATCTTTCCTTCTTTCTTTTTTTTACTGAAATATACTTATTGTTATTTTTCATGTGGATATTTGTTTTAAAAAATGAATTGAATGAGGAACACTTTCCAGTGCTTGGTCCATTAGAGTTAAAAAAAGGCAGTACATATATTGATAATGAAAAGAGACAACGATCAAACCAAAACACTTTGCTTGTTAAAACACCCCCGGATGGAGCACCATGTATCTTCAAATACTTTACCAGTAATATCTGGAAAAGCCTKTGTACTGGAGGAGTTACAGGCACCATTAATGACCGAAGAAAATTTCCCAATGTTAAGCTCATCAAGACCTGTCAAGAAAAAGCGACAACAATCCTTCGAAATCACAACAATTCCAGTAAAACCACGGCTTGAAACATCAAACCATTGCACCAAAAGAAAAGCAAGCAAAGACTCTACCACCAAAGAAAGACAGCTGTGTAGTACATCAATCACCAACAATAGGAAATAACCATATTGTAAAAGATCATTTTCAGAAGTGGGGTGGCCTATGCTGTAGTACAGTAACGATCAACTAGTATTTCAAAAAAAGTTGAATATTGAAGAGCGCCGACCACTACCGTCAGAACGAAGCTTGTGATTGGTCGAGACAACAAAAACAAAGAATTGTAGGGTTATGTCAGACAATGCCTATTGTTATATTGGATTATGTCAGACAATGCTTATTGTTCTACTGGACATCTTCCTTTTTTGTATTGACTGACTCACTTTATTATTCTATCAATAACAATCTTTGTGGGCACCTTTGAAGATAGTGTATTCAAAGACTGAAATGCATTGKTGGTTRTTGTATTGCCGTTCAATCACAAGAAGTCTGKCGGTCAGTCGACTCRCCAAAAGTATCTGCTTCGGAGAGGAATGGAGAATTGACGTGACTGAAAATATCCATTCACAAAAAATATTAAATTTTATCCATTCCTATAGCATAAAGTGATAATAAATTGTAAGTTTTTGCTTATCTTCAATGTATTATTCAGGATTCGTGTTACATTTTCACTACAAAGTCCCAGGACTTTTTCAAGTACTTTTTAAGCACAAAAATGTAATTTTCAAGGACTATTTTTCAAGATATGTTTTGATGTTTGCAAACGTTTCGAGTGGCGATTTTGAAAAATAGCCACATTCAACATGATTCAATCCAAACGCTAGAAAGCAACACATCAATTTCATCAGATTCAAGGAGTGTTCCAGGAGTTTCAGCGATTTTCCTCATGTTCAAGGGCTTTTCAAGCGCTTTTAAAAACAAGTTTTCAATTCCGGGACTTTTCAAGGATTTTAAATAACAATGCGCTTAAGAACTAGGGAACTCTCTATTGTTCTGCGGCATTGCAACTTTCCCACGTACGAATGTCTTGGTTTTCAAACTGATTATATATCAACCTATGGGTAACACATTTTTGAAATAAAATGTGGATAGACCACTTTGAAACAGTTTCTTTTGTATTAAAAGCTTTTTTCCAATCACAAGCACTCAAAACAATAGCCAAAAGATGCTTCTAGTTTGCTATGTTCCCCACGTAGAATTGCCTTAATATTGAAGCTAAACTTAAAGAAAGCTTTCATGAAAGTGAAAACAGACATTAATTAAAATATTAGAAATTGCGCTAACTTGTAAAATTATAGCAGATTTTTATTTTTTAACCAATGGGATGGATTATACAATGCACAATTAGCACCTTCTTGCATTCCTTTGCCGTTTGCTTCCCTAGTTCTTACTCGGGGCATTACTTAAGGATAGCTCGAACCCCAGGCCCGTAGGCTGGGGGTGTTCGGTGGCTCAAAAGGTCTGGTGTTTCTCTTTTTTGTTATCTTCTAAAATTCTTTTGTTATGAACTGTTTTTGAGATTTTGCTAAGAGCTGCTCATTCTAGCAGCCAGTTCTTACACGCTATACCTGTGCATTGAACTAATTTAGTTAAACATTTAATTTAGGTCCGCATTATGAACAAAACGAACCCCCCATTTGGCAGCCTACGGGCCCGAACCCTGATTAGCATTATTATCAAACATAAAGAAAATCTCTAAAGGGAAGTCAGTGGACCATGGTCCTTGTTGATTTGATATTTTATGTGTRTAGGAGTAGAGTTTGTCATACGACTTCCATATATGGATGTCCATATATMTGGCTGTGATGTACCTATAGAAAGCTSTCAGGATCTCATATGCTTGGAAGTCACAAGACAGATCTCCTTCCTGTATATATACTGTATACACGGATTTTATTAATCAAAGACACTAACAACACTTCTAGCCTGCCAAGATTAAATTGTATTTTATTTTCATCAATTAACCTCCCTTCTTCTTGGCAACACCAACAGTGCGACCTTTRCGGCCTGTTGTCTTAGTATGCTGACCACGAACACGGAGACTGAAACAAAAGATATCTTATAAATACTCAGTTTTGTTCCTTCTACATGTGTTTTAATATTCCGAGCTTTCGGACAACTTGTCCATCATCAGGGAGTATTTATAATGAATCCTACGTACGAAAACATTTTAAAAAAGATATCTTAAAGTTAAAATTTTAGCAATTTGTCATACTGACAGTCTGAAGTTAAGAGTTAAACAATTCTGTTTTGTCATTAAAAAGGTTTCCACAGAAAGACTGAATGAAATTGGTAATTTACGATTAACCCTAACCCTGACCCAACTTTTAGGCTTCAAAAATATAGATTTAATAAAAACTTGATATAAAAAATAAACAAAGAAATCAAATCTAAATGAGACTCATTACAAGAAAAACAAAAAAAGCGAGCAGTTTGCCTTGACCTTCACTGCATTTTATCAGTGAAATATGATATACAGCCTCACAAATAACAATGAAAACTGATACAATGAGATCATAATACTGCATATACATGTAAGACTTTTTGCATCACACACGACCAAACTTTTTGCAAATTTGATATAAAWTTCAAAAATAGAAATTTAAGTAAAACTAGTTTATCACCAAAAAAATGACCTGTCAAAGCCACAAACAGTACAGTTTCATTGATTTGAATAAAAACAAAGTTTGTTCATTAAAATTTTTCTTTGAGCTTTCTTGCTCACATTCCCAAATATTTCTAGGCACAGTTTTTCAATTTGCGCTGTAAAAACTGTAACAAAGTGAGTCAAAACCATATGAACTGAGCCCTCAAAGAATGCTTCCAATGAAACAAAAAATTGTTTTTGGAAAATAAATCAGTTCAGGCATCTTACGTACAAAGTACTGCATGTCTAAAATRACCAATCAGAAACAAACACTTATTTCAGAACAAAAATACTACCACTTGGTCTAATGTCCTTATATGGTATACTTACCCCCAATAATGTCTCAAGCCACGGTGAGCACGGATCTTCTTAAGTCTTTCAAGATCCTCACGCAGTTTGTTATCCAAAGAGTTGGATAAAAGCTAAAATAGTAATAATAATAATAATGAAAGGGTTTCATAAACAATGGGATATGTAGGGATAGCAAAAAATAAAGTTTTTTGTGCATTTGCAAGCCAGACATATCATAATTTTGTTACAGCTGTAGCCTTTAGTCCAACTTATTGCCAAAGGTCTTTAGAGTGCTTTTATGTACAGGAATCAATTGCAGAACACAATGAAATCTGACTATTCTAACTCCTTGAAAGCTATTTCAAACCCCAGTGAGTACTTTGAGAGTACATACATGTATATATGAGCCCCTCCCAGGGGGGATATATGCTCCCTTGATCCCCAGTTTTTTTTTGCATTTTCTCCCTTGATCCCCATAAATAAATTCGAAAGCTCCCCAAAATAAATTCGAAAGCTCCCCAAAATCTAAAGCTAGGCTCCTTGATCCCTGAAAATAATTTGACGATCTSCCYAGTTCCCTAAAAATAAATGACCAATCTCCSTTGYTCCCTAAAACCCCTGKGAGAGGCTCATATATACTGTCAAAACTATTGGGAACATGTAGTTACCTGTGAATACTTGCCATCCTTGTGATCTTTTTGTCTGTTTAGAAACCAGTCAGGGATCTTGTACTGACGAGGATTCTGCATGATTGTTATAACACGCTCTACCTCATCTTCAGTAAGCTCACCGGCACGCTTGTTCATATCAATATCTGCCTTCTTGCAGATAAGATTAGAATAACGCCGACCAACACCCTGTTCAATAACACTTGAATTAGATAAGGGATTCAATGAAAAACAGACTATAAAGAGGAAAACCAAATCAACAATTTGTGTAAATACAATAAGTATTTCTAGTCAAATTGTGTATTCATTTATGCWATCTATGACAGCTATTTAACATAGCATATTTGACAAAGTATAAGCTCTCTAGAAGTAAAAAGGATCTATCTATCTATACATAAAGACCTTTAACACATTCATCAGGACAATATTAATAATATTTTCACGTAAAAATCAATCACAACAATGAAACGTCTAACGAATTGCCTTTCATTGTGTTCATTCTTACGTTTGGAAAATCAACCGTTACATAATAAACACAGAAAAAGGAAATAGTATGTACACTATATTTAGTGTTTTAATGCTTCGACTTGCAAACCCCGGTTACTTGCCTTGATAGCTGTTAAGGCGAACATGATTTTCTGCTTTCCATCGATGTTCGTGTTCAAGACACGAAGAATGTGCTGAAACTTTTCAGGTATGACGAGTGCCTATTAAACACAATTTGTACATGAATACTAACACTGGACGAAACRATTTAGAATCGAGATGACATCAAGTCRAAGAYTACATGTAGTAGAYTTCAACAATCCTTAGCAATWCTTTRAACCAAAAAACAATGGCTTTCTAAACAATTTGAAACACAATCGTTCATTCTAAGATTTATTTAGATATTACTCTTTCATTATTGATCAATACTGTMCACAAAATATTTTCAGCAACGAAGATGGAGATGGATTTAAAATCACAAYCATAACCTTTCTCTCCTTACCATGATGGCGGCCAAAAGAGAACGACTACAGAGGACGACGGGAAAATATTGCCTTTCTGAGCCCGCAATCTGTCTYGTCCATCGAGAACCACAGGGATCCCATAATATTGTGGGCCTTTGAATTTTCTCAATAAAATACCCAGGGATGTCAACCCCTGAGCTTTATATATCTGGAGAAATTGCCTCGATATGTGTATGACGTCACACCATGTGATTGACGTCACAAATAACGTTGCATAATCAGTTTATATATTTTTCATGCGCGAGTATACGTAAGCAACGACTGTAGGTATTTCGTTACGTATCGAAAGATCGAGGAAACATGACATAATTCATTGAAGGTTTTCTTTGAAAATAAAAATCTACAATGATGGTTAGTAATTAATATCATTCTATGAAAATATCGTGCGTATCCGGGAGATTTAGGGCTAAAATCTTGAGACCGGGAGATTCGATCTGAAACCGGGAGTCTCCCGGCAAATCCGGGAGAGTTGACGTCCCTGAATACCGTACGAAAAGATTTCTGATGTATTTTACAATTTATTTAAGCATAAATATAAATTCTTATATAATTTTATATGAAATATTCATTTTTGGGGGGASGGGAGGGTCAAAATCGTTCTCAGTCCCGAAACTGTATGAAACTGATTCCACCAAACTTCTGACTCGGCCTCATTTCCTCATTGAAATAAAAGAAAGAACAAGTCGGCGAGTTATATGTTTTATTAATAAAAAAGAAGTCGGTTTATTCACTTTATATTCCGTGATAACAAACAAATTACTGAACTCAGCCGTATCAAGATACTGCAGAAAAGATCCAGGGACTCACCGTTCCTTGGCGCCTCGATTCAATGGTTTGTTCGTTTATAGTTATCTATTGACTATATTAACATATTAACAAAGCAAAAGCTTGTTTTTGTATTTTTCATAAGCTTCGCCAAAAGGCGAGGCTACCTAAACAGAGCGTGCGCTCCAATRAGAGGTCCCGAGACTATTACAACAATTGATGAAAAAGTATAAACAGTCATAAGCTCAAAAATTCTTCATATGTGAAAATAGCAAGAGAAAACTTGATATTCCATCGACTTTTATCATATAATTATTCATAAAATACCTATATTTCTCCATTACGTAGAGTTGTTATCAGTTTTAGCTACGCTCAATCGTGAGAGGTCTTTTCAATAGATAAGATAAAAGAAGAGATAAAATCCGTATCTCCGCGCGCACATGTAATATCCTCTATTTCATGGATAATCATATGATAATAACACATTATTAAATGGTCTTGTGTCGGAAATCTCTGAAGMCGGATATTTTCGACACTCGAAGACAAAATTTGTATCTCTGCGCGCCCCATGTAATATCCTCTATCTAGTATCCCGCATTGTGATTGGCTACTGGACTATGGTCCCGTTCATGATAGACCATGACACTCGTATCAAACGACGCGAAAGTAGTCGAGAAAATGCCGCGGTTGAAATCAACTCGGATTCCACCCGACCTCGTAGTCTAACTGTAAGTATTTCATAAATTCATCAATTAACACATGTGAAAATGACAGCACTGGCCCAGAATATCCTTAAAGGCCTCTCGAAACTGACTACTCTGATAGCAATGAATRAAAGGATTCAGACAGGTCATGGCAAAAAACACAAAGCCCGAGTAGGTATATGGCTTTTTGAGATTTGGAACTTCAAATACCTTTAAACATGTTATGATAAGCACAGGAAACACACAAATAACAAACAACAATGTAATCGTCAGCGATAGTTTCACAGTTTGTCGAGTTTGTACTGTTCGTWGCTTTGCTACTTCTTYMGTGATTCCTAAATTKCTCGAYGCAACTTTTTGTTTGAAATAGAAATCTTTTGCAATATTAAAATAGCAGAAAGTGATTATTCCGAACGACACGGCTACCGAACAAATGGTAATGACTAATTCAGTAATGATGTAGGCGTCTTTATCAATGGATTCTCGACTCTGATCATGGCTGCATTTTTTAGTGTGTTGAGCGTAGGCACCATCAATGTAATGTGGCAGAGTAACCAAAACAGCACCAAACCAAATGGCAATTATAGCAAAGTGTATGTTTTCTTTCTGAAGTCTAATTCCACGTTTTAAAGGTTTGATAACGGCGTTATATCTCTCTACAGACATGACAGTTACTGTGAAAATCGACGCAAAAACTGAAGTAATTGGAAYGTTGAACAGCAACAGGAATTTACAGAGATAGTCAGCAAGAACACCGTCTTCTAATGTTATTACATTTAAAAGCAATGGGAGCGGCATAAACACTAAAGCAACGATGTCAGAAACCGCTATGTTTACCAGAAGATAGTTGGGGATTGCACGTAGACTGGCTTTCTTCCAAACTGCTAGGATAACCAAAGCATTGCCTGTAAACCCAGTTAGATAAAGTGGAAAACCAAGAACAAAGACAGCGATATCGTGCTCTCTCATGTTTCAGTTCTTTTTCTTGTGCTCTTTTTGATCATTATAAGGACGAAGAAAGATCGTTGCTTTCATGACCAAAACCTAGAGAAATTAAATATAACATTAAAAGAAAGTACTAAAACAGCGGTGCTCTTAAGTCCCAGGAAATTGAAGAAAAGTAGTTTATAATAAAGCCCTTATCTAGTAGTCAGCTAAAGACATCTTTGTCTCCCGAACTGTGGGGAGCTGATGCACTCTGTTTTTAAACTTTGACAAGTTGAGTGAACGGCATCTTACAGACAATATAGTGATGTCTGATGGACCAAGTAATGCAAATACTACTATCGTTGTTAATATCACGATATGCTACACTCTTTGATSGTCGGGAAACTGAATACGACAATAAGTTCATTTTATTTGAAAAAGTCTCGATAAACAAACAAAAAAATCTCTGTATACTCTCTAAAAAAATGATAGAAGAAATTTGCAGTTGCGATTTTAGTTCAGATGCTTCAAATCTGAAGAGAAGTTTAATATGCGCAGCCCAACCAACAAGACTGAATTTTATATTTCTCGATTTGACAAATTCAATACTATTTGCACAAAGATTTCACTCTGTAATTGCGCATGCCAAATTAAAGAGTGTGTTAATAAAAGTAGTCTTCGTAAGAAAGTTTTCTTTGTAACTAGCAAATTCCTGAAATACASTGTTGTAAAATCGCTATCCCTCTCAGTTATTTTGGGTCATTTTGTTTTTGCCTTTTTGGAAGCTACACCACCAGTTAATGAGCTTATAAAAATGCAACCTCTGATAAGTTRCATGTTCATAAATTGCATCAATACTCAAAGCGTCTCAATATAGAAAGGGTAATGTCAAAGAATGGGTAAAAATATCACCACTCCCTATAACGTTCACTTGCGTTACCAGCTGTGTTTGTAGAGSGAAATGGTKWGGAAGCACTTTTTTCCAAGCATGAGAGTACACAATCTTTTGTTCGTGGATTTTACGAGCGCATAAGCATAGCCATAAGCACGAAGCACGAGAGTCATATGCACCAGTGAGAACGGGCTCRRAATAAGCATAAKCATRAGCACAAGAAAAACGAGCAAGGATTGATCTTTTTGTGCTTATCTCAATGCTTATAAGCATGCTCAGTGAGAACGTGACTGCATATGCATAAGCATAGCCACGAGACTAATAATACGCTCGTGCGCATGCTCAATGTCTTATCGTTATGTCGAGCCCGTTCTAACTGGCGCTTTTGATTCTCATGCTTGTGCTTATGCCTATGCTTATGCGCTAGTGAAATCCACGCGTCATATAGGGGGGCTAGTGACGAATCATGGGAAACGAGACCTCCAAGGCCTTACATCTCAAAACACCGCGAAGGTCACAAGTATGGCAGTGTCTGAAAGATGTATTGCCGGGTATGCTATTTATGACAAAACACTCTTGCAAACACAATGGAAGTTGTGAGGAGGCTGGAGTTTTTGATAAAATTATCAACAGTTTTGTTCATAGTGAGCTATATTTGTGCTGAACTGGTCACAACTCAAAAGCGTACTTCGAGCTATCAACAACAAGCCTCAAGTCAGGGGGGGAAGGTTGTGTTATTAGTCTGCTTTTATCAATACGTTTTAGAGTATCAAAACTTTACAAATTGAGACTTTTGTCCATGATATTCAACTAAAATAGTTTGGATTTTAGAATACCAATAWTTTACTGCAATTACGCGGATCAGATCGAAAAGAAGTCTTTAACCCTACCCCTGCAGGTCATGCCTTTGCACAAATTTTTCCGTTCTATGTTATGAAAGCAAAAAGAATGCGAAATATTATATATAATATATTTAATATTAAGAATTTCGTCGTACACAGCCATATTATTATTAATACTTGTTAAGTCTTCTTCGCGCTCGTATTGTACAGTTTCCTCGAGCGCTTTCAGTTAGCTGCGTAGATTAGATCATCACGTGTACTACAACCTTGAAAATGGCTGCTTAGGCATAAAGCTTGGTWAAAATAAATCAATTTTGCACAGAAGACTCAAAAAGTATTAATATTTAATATTATTAAAACGTAGAATTTCACTGTCATGCATGGACGGTAAGGCAACTTCTTTACCCAGCCAAGTTACCTTAATTAAGATGCCTTAAATTAATACTGTTTGTTGTTCAACGCAAGGCACCCTGAAACACAACAATATGGCGTCAGGTYGTTATCGTCAATCCCATAGTGCACCTCGCATTACGTGCTTGACGTCATTCGGAGACTGGACCATCCGCAGATAATAGTTTCTTTTGCCATGGTTAACAATAGATGTTGAGTAAGCTGGCTTTGTACTTATGTTTTTTGACAATCATTTGATTATCCCGTGCGAGGCCGATGACAGCACTGGCCCAGAATATCCTTAAAGGCCTCTCGAAACTGACTACTCTGGTAGCAATGAATAAAAGGGTTCAGACAGGTCATGGCAAAAAACACAAAGCCCGAGTAGTTATATGGCTTTTTGAGGTTTGGAACTTCAAATACCTTTAAACATGTKATGATAAGCACAGGAAACACACAAATAACAAACAACAATGTAATCGTCAGCGAYAGTTTCACAGTTTGTCGAGTTTGTACTGTTCGTAGCTTTGCTACTTCTTTAGTGATTCCTAAATTGCTCGACGCAACTTTTTGTTTGAAATAGAAATCTTTTGCAATATTAAAATAGCAGAAAGTGATTATTCCGAACGACACGGTTACGGAAGTAACGGCTATAACTACTTCTGTAATTCTGTAGGCCTCTTTATCGATGCCTGGTAATTGTGTTTGATCATGACCGCATCTGTTAGAATCTGGAACGTAGGCACCATCAAGGTAACTTGGTAGACTGACTAAAATAGCACCAAGCCAAATGGCAATTACAGCAAATTTAACATTTTCTTCCTGTAGTCTAATTCCCCGTTTTAAAGGTTTGATAACGGCGTTATACCTCTCTACAGACATGACAGTTACTGTGAAAATCGACGCAAAAACWGAAGTAATTGGAATGTTGAACAGCAACAGGAATTTACAGAGATAGTCAGCAAGAACACGGTTATGATCTAATTTCACTAATTTCAAAAGCAACGGAAATGGTATAAACACTAAAGCAACGATGTCAGAAACCGCTATGTTTACCAGAAGATAGTTGGGGATTGCACGTAGACTGGCTTTCTTCCAAACTGCTAGGATAACCAAAGCATTGCCTGTAAACCCAGTTAGATAAAGTGGCAAGCCGATGATAAAGGCCGCGGCGATATCGGCTGCTCCCATCGTATTTGAATAAGACGTATCTTAACTGCATACTCTTTTTGATTGGTATAAGACGTAGTTCCGGATTGCCTTACATGGCGCGAAAGGCAGGCAGATGTGTTTTCTCAACAAAACCTGTAGGAAAGTAGTAATACATTAAAGGAAACAAAGAAAGAAAGAAAGTACTAAAACAGCGGTACTCTTGACAACCCGCCAATGAAATATAGAAACCCCTTAAACCCATGGGAAATTGAACGAAAGTAGTTTTTAGGGACTGTGCAATATTTATCAGGGGGAGGGGGGTTGGAAATGAGTCAAAAAATCAAAAAAGTTACTTACTACCACCCTTGCAAACGAAAAAAAAGTAGGCTCTGGCCTCTTCCCCCGTGAATTTACTTTTTTATTAGTCGTGAATAAACTGTTGTCGCAAATCGTGGCACGCTTTTATTGATAAGTTTTCGACTTCAATAAGTTACTGGCCAAAAAATGCAGAATCTGACATCCTATATTTTCAGTTTCCAATTAAAGTTCTAGTCAATTTTAGACGTTGCCCCCCCTCTTTAAGCACATAAAACTAGATTTTGCCCCCCCCTCTGGATTCTTAATCTCCCCTCCTGATAAATATTGCTAAGTCCCTTAAGAAAGTCCTCAACTTGAAGCACGTTGAAAGACGCACTGTCTTTGTCTCTCAAGTTATTAAATTGTTCTGAAAACGTGCTCTCTCTCTTCTAGGTATGATAGTATACATGGAAATATCAATAGGGCAAATATAAACAATATTGATCGTTGAGAGGGGATTAGGGTACGGCAAAAGGGGGTTACGCAACCTCGAGGGGTTCGCCAAATTAAAAATCAAGCGTATCCAAAAATCACATATTCACAGTTCACCTGCATGCAATAAGAAGTGAGCGCTCGGTAATATAATGGAACCAAAATGGTCTGTTGAAAGRAAAGATGAGATAGGACAGGTGTTTCTCGGAGTTATAAAGGAAATCAGTAAATGGAAGCGCTTCTTGTCCTTTTCAATATCATTTCCTTTTTAAAAAATGAGAACGCGGAAAAATTCTAGGAAAATTAGAAAGAGTGTATAAGTAATTCATATTATTCAATAAAATTCAATATTCAATAAAAAGTTTTATCATCCTCATATGATAAAATGTCTATAGTAGTTATGGTTAGGTATTTCGCACTAGAAGTCATCAGCACTCTTTATATGAACTGACACTTACTTGTATGACGCAAGACGTGTTTTTTTTTGTCATTAAAGTGATCCTCATCTCATGATGCTTGCTTGGTGTGTATAACACCCTTAACACATCGATTACTTTTGAATTACAGGATCCGTGCTTTTAAGGTGAAGTGCGGAAGCTTAAAAGTAGGTTCTTCTTCGAGTGTATATTGTATTCTCAAGATGTTTTGATCCTGGACTTAAATTTAAAAACAGTCGTTAATGGCATGAATAATAAATATAGGCAAAAAGCTTGTAAAGCATTATTGTCTAATTTCAGCCATTAT